CCAAATCTTAGATTGTCTGATTCGGTCTGATATCCTACACTACTCAAGTTACTGCGTTACATAGTACTTTAGTATTATTTTTCTATTTTTATCCAAAACAAGGCGATATGAACATTATGGAGCATTAAACGCTCTCATGTAATATCTGTTTCACATGTGAGATTAATAGAGGTATTGAACACGTTCTAGGAAATCCCTTATATGGACAAATGCATCAGATATCACTACAGCTGAATAACATGATAGAGACGTTTTGACTGATGAAACATGAAGATAATAAACACACAATTGCGATGATATACCTGTGTTTATCTGTGTTCTTTAAGCCATTTTGGGTATTTTCATAAGAATGATGTATATAATGCAAGGCTAATCAACATAGCCTGTATCACAGTATAGAATTTTATAAAATAATGTATTTTCTGTCTCAATGTGCGATAAGAAGCAACATAGAACCACAGAAGCAAGTTATTTTAAACACAACTGATGTTATATAGGGATTTTGGAGCAAAACATGATATTAATCTCTAATAAATTATCATGTTTGATGCTATGCTAAGCAAACATAGCTATCCCTGTTGCCAGGAGTGATTGTTTTATAACTAATTTTGAAAAGTAATTCCACTTAAGATTATGTGAATGTTTATAAGAAGGACAAAAGCAAAGAAGGGTAAGTGAGAGGTTTGATCAAAGAAATAAGGAATTGAAACACTGTGAATAGAAAGGTACTAGTAAAAAAATTATATGGGGTATGGGTAAGGTTGGGCATCATTTGAATTTTAATGATTTCGATTTCAATCCTGCTTATATCCTGATTACTAATTTCAATTCCAAAAAGCTCAGATATCATTCACATTTATTTTAAGTCTTATTGCAAAACATTTCATTGTAGTTGAATACTATGATCAACAACCTTTATCAGCCATATCACCCTGCAGCCCAAGACTGGTTGACCACAGAAGCTGAGCAGGGTTGAGCCTGGTCAGTACCTGGATGGAGACCTCCTGGGAAAAACTAGGTTGCTGCTGGAAGAGGTGTTAGTGAGGCCAGCAGGGGGTGCTCACCCTGTAGTCTGTGTGGGTCCTAATGCCCCAGTATAGCATACCTGTCAACTCTCCCATTTTTCCCGGGATTCTCCCGTATTTTACCATTCTATCCCGCTATCATCCCGCTTAAATATTTTCCCGTATTTCTCCCGTATTTTTAATCTTTCTATAAAAAATCCCACTGGTCATATTTTATATGTTTACTACATTCGCTTCTGGTAAAACTCCCGTAATTTGTATGGCCCATCTCATTATATGAACAATCACGTCAACAAATTGCAAGGTTGTCCAGTTGCCAGATCTTGTATGAAACACATCCTTGTCACACAATCTACAACTACAAATTTCAACCCATTTATCCCCTCAACTTGGCAACCTGCAACCCAGTGATGCTATTGATATCTGTGCAGGTAGTACCGCGGGAAGGAAATAAGGATCACTGGTAGAAATGGGAGGAGAAGACTCAGGTGGTGCTCTGATGAAAAAAAAAATATATATATACATGTAAATTGAGATATAGCTTACATTTCAAAATGCTATGGTTTAATTGATTAAATATGAGTGCTGTTTCAAAGTGAGGTGCTGCGCTGCTTTGTTTACTGCGGCTACCGGGGAAACGGCTATATTCCTGGCAAACCTGCTGACAGAGAGTGAATTTGCATTTTTCAATAAGCCCTTATTGACGCAGTTGGCACGCAGTTGTAAATGTGAACCGGTGGTTCTACAAGGTAATGAATTATAAAACTCTAAAGATAAAGCCTACACTACATTTATATGTTACTAAATTAATATAATTATTTGATAATTGTTTAATATAATAAATTAATAATAATATAACATAATAATTGATACTCATATAATATAATAATTGAATAATTACTTTTGACTCCGCCCCCATACCCCCCTCCCCTCCCCATCTCCCGTATTTTGGTACCCGAATGTTGACAGGTATGGTATAGTGACGGGGACACTATACTTGTCAACAAGCACCATCCTTCGGATGAGACGTTAAACCGAGGTCCTGACTATCTGTGGTCATTAAAAATCCCAGGATGTCTTTCGAAAAGAGTAGAGGTGTGACCTCGGCATCCTGGCCAAATTCGCCCATTGGCTTCTGACCATCATGGTCTCCTAACCATCCCCATATCTACTGATTGGCTTCATCACTCTGTCTCCTCTCCACCAATAAGCTGGTGTGTGGTGGGCGTTCTGGCGCACTATGGCTGCCGTCACATCATCCAGGTGGATGCTGCACACTGCTGGTGGACGAGGTGATACCTCCTCACAATGTAGAGTGCTTTGAGTGCTTAGAAAAGCAGAAAAGCGCTATATAATTGTAATTATTATTATTTTTTATTATTATTAACCTGTTGATTGAATACTAAAATCAACAGGCTGAAGAACACTTACACAAGGAACCATAGCAAAATCAACTAACCTAAATAATATACATTTTTAACATTATTAAAGACAAGTAAGCATTAAAAAAAATTAAAATATTTTTTTAAGATGATCTTAAAGATTTTTAAGATTTTCAGGTATTTAGATGCAAAGGTTATTCAGTCAAGAACAGTGAGTGACTTTTCTGTCTTTTGTTTGATTAATGTTATTATAGAAATGGCAGCAGGAATATTCTATGCTGCTGTTTTTTTAAGAGATGCACAGAAGACATAACTGACTGTTTACGAGAATATCTTGACATATTTTTTGTGTATATTTGTTATTTCAAATGCAAAAAGACTTGGGAAAGGACTCAGTTCAGTATCACACACTATACAGTATGAGAGGTGACTTTCTGTGAGCACATCTTGGATGTGTGTGCAGCAGAGAAAACAGCACGTGAGTCTTCTTGACTTGCTTGGTTTAAAATCACATTAAACTACACTTTTACATGCATCTGATTGACATATAAATCATGGTTTATCTGTCAGTAAGATGCACATAAAAATGCATGCTCTCTTATTTCAATGTTGTTAATGTTGAGTTTTTTTCAGCTTCGTACGAAGTTTGCTTCGTACATTTAGTTTAACTGCACTGTTAAAGAGGGCAAGCTTTACCATTCAGCTGAACTGTGTGCCTGCATTTTAGACACTTACATTGTTCTTGCTCCATCCATGCAATAACTGTGTCCTTCTATCAACCAAGTTTTCTATTTACTTAAACTGCTGAGTGCTCTGGTAATATCAATGGTATGACCCATTTCAAGAGCTGTCAAAATTACAAAATCAGAGCATAGCCTACTTACATTACCTAAAATATTAAAACATTAACAATACCGATTAAAAACGCCACTGCCAGTGATTGATTGACAAAGCAAAGGTTTGAACGCCCCGGTTTGAACGCCCCGCCCCCCCAGCTGAGCTGGAAGTTTTGATTTGATTTGTTTTGCACCCGAGAGACCTGCGTGTTATTGCCTGAAGCGCAGGGCTTCACCCCAGTAGTTTGAAAAGTGCCCGTCAGACGCCAACTCGTCTTGTTTCTCGGCACCTTTGTCTATTTTGTACTTTGTACTTTTGGTGAAAAATAAATGTAACGAACTTGAATACTATTTTATTTTTATTCAACTCAAGTAAATGTAAAAGTGCCACAATTTAATTATACTTAAGAACGTATAATTTAAATAAAATGTACTCAAGTACTGTAACGAAAGTATTTGTTATTAGTTACTTTCTGTCAGGGTCTGGCGTCTGGTGTTCTCCCTCTCTCCTCCAGAGGGCGCCAGCTCCCGGACTCCCATTCCCCAAACCCCATACACCTGTTCACTCATTACACTAATTCCCCAAACTCCACACACCGGTGCAGTCACTCACTCATCACACTCACCCTCAGCTGTGCCCCGTCTTCACTGACTATATATTTTCCTCTCACTCACCACTCGGCCTGGCTGTATTGTGTTAGGTAATGGTGTTCGTCGTCCCTAGACCTGTTTTTGTTTTGCCTTGTTGGCCTTTCTGTTGTAATAAAGAAGTTTTCACCTGCATTTGGACCCGGACCCTTTGTTTACACGGTGTGCTTTCCTGACCGCCCCGTGACAGAATACAGCCAGCAGACATGGGTCCAGCAGGGAAGTTTCTTAACGTCCGCCAGGGAGACCGGAGCATTGAGGATTACGCCAGGGACTTCGTGGGAGTGGCTCGCCAGTCGGCCACGGAGAAGACCTGCCTAATGGTCTTTTTCTGGGGAGGCCTAGCCGAGCCCTTCAAGTCCCTGATGCCATACTGGGTCCCCGAGGAGTCGCTGGAGGACTATATCAACCTGGCCCTGCATTTGAGCGGCTCCGCCTTCAGGGTGGAGGTAGCTGCGGAGCCCGCTCACACTTTCCACCTCTGGTTAAAGGGTTGCAACGTTTTAAATGTTAATCAATATTTTTCCATCTTTTTTTATAGGTTCTGGTCTCAATGATGGAGAATGGCATGATGTTCGTTTCCTGACCAAAGAGAATTTTGCCATGCTTACCATTGATGGGGATGAAGCATCAGCTGTGAGAACCAACTCGCCTGTCCAGATCACAACAGGAAGCACGTACCACTTTGGAGGTAAGTTCAGAAATTTACAGAGACCAAAGTCCAAAATTTACTGAGAATCCCAAAGTACCATTAGAATAGATACTCAGATCTTTACACTCTCCCTGGCGCGTTGGCCCCTGGCTTACAAAGGCCTTTGAATTTGTTTCTGCTGAAAGACCAGCACTAGAAAGGATTTGAGAACTTTTTTTCATTATGCATGCATAAAGACACCCCTTTAAAGAAATCAGGATGGGCATTAATGCTGATATGCTTTTATGTTTTATCTCACTTAATTGGAAAACCAAAGAAAATTAACAAAGGGATGGTCTACTTAAAAGAAGAAATAATTGGCTGCCCAGATTAGTGTGAACGTTCTCCATTGTCTTTTAACTCTCATGAGGACCATGAGTGTCAAGGCGAAATGTCAGTACAGTTTTGATGTAAAAATGAATAAAATATTTATCACAGATATTACTTGTTTGAAATTCACTTAAACCATAACAACGTCTTCTTGGAAAATCATTGGGCCTCATAATGTGAATGAGATAAAAGTAAAATGAGTAAAATGTGATCCAGAGCGTCTAAGCCTGATGGCAAAGCCTTCAAAAAGTTTACTGGGCTTATCAATATTGTCTTGAGTTGGAAGTCAGAAGAAGATAGTGAGAAAATTAAGATGTTGTATTTGTAGTATTACAATTTAAAATAGCTGTTTTCTATTTTAATGTATTTATTCCCAGTGTTGGGGAAAGTTACTTTTAAAAGTAATGCATTACAATATTGCGTTACTCCTTAAAAAAGTAACTAATTACATTACTTAGTTACTTTTTATGGAAAGTAATGCGTTATATTACTTTTGCATTACTTTCGCATTACTGTTTTTTGTGAGTGGGATGAATTAATGCACATTCACATTTAGTCTAGAACTACTGTAACATCATGTTCACACAGCGCACACAACTCCTCTGCACTTACGATTTCTCCCAATATGGGGACAGGAGAGCTGTCAGCCAATAAATGGGAAAACAAAGTAACTGGCATTACTTTTTTGAAAAAGTAACTCAGATATTTTCTTGTAAATTAAAAAAGCAATGTGTTACTTTACTAGTTACTTGAAAAAAGTAATCTGATTACGTAACTCGCATTACTTGTAATGAGTTACCCCCCCAACACTGTTTATTCCTTTGATGACAAAGTTGAATTTTCAGCAGCCGTTCCTCGTAATTTTCCCAACAAATCCTAGGTATGGTATGCAACCAACATGCCAAAAGAAGACAAACTTGTATGGTTGTTGAAAGTGATCAGTTTTCATGATTTTCCTCAGTCCAAAGACATCAGCTTGATGTATTTGGATTGGGGATCTGAAAAGTGATTTTTGCCTACATCAAAATGCCTGAAGAGACAAACAGAACTTGTCTTCTCCTTCTGATAGAATGGGAGGGTGCTGTGACCTTCCATCCTCGTCTTTGTTTTTTAAGTTTTCGATCCAAAGTTGCATGTGCCACTACACGCACATTAATTTTCCCCCCCTTTGATGGAAACAAACCCATCCTGGTGCCATCTTCAGCCAGCCATCTGTCCGATCAGACCATTGGCAGGAAGTCAGAGATAAGAGCATGTTCAGCGGCTCAGAGAGGCAAATATGCAAAGGAAGACCAGCAGCTGAGATAGACAACAGTGTCTGGCGCTATCAAACCTGTCTGTCTATTGAGGTTGAGGGATAGATGGTTGATAGCTTTATCAGACTCACACATCTTCAAAAACAGCTAAATGAGGTAAAAACTGCAGTCCCTTCGCTCTGGGTTTGGCACGGTCAGGCAGCACATTTACACATGACAGCCTCTAAAATAAGATCAAAAAGCTTCACTTCTCTTCACTGCGCTACTGTTGGTTCACCTGCACACTAACTATAATTATCAATCATGCTTCTCCATCCGTCACTGTTATTTTCTAGAGAGATGTGTCTGTACTGTCTGATTTGTTTACCGGTTGGATCTTTTTTTTTTGAGCATAGAAAGACCTCCATATGGCCAAATATGAATATGCCATAGACGGTTAACATTGGGAATGACTGTGAAACACAGATTGAAACATATAAGAGCAATCAATATAACAAACTGAATATTTAATTCCTCATTCTTGGGATAAATGTTTTCTCTGAACTGTCAAATCATGGTCTAAGAAAAAAAAGTTTTGAAGTCAAGTTCCTCAAATTTAATGTTTTTTTTTTTTTTTGGTGAGGGCCCCACATTCAAAAATATATTTAAGCTAAAATATATTTAATATATTTCAATTTAAATTAATAAATTATATAAAAATGTATTTATTTATTTCCATTGTTTCCCTTTTATGCCTATATATATATATATATATATATACTCTGTGTACATCACAAGTTCAGCTCATGAAAAATGGGGGAAAAAACAAAAGTTTTGCGTTTCTAATTTTGTTCAGTGTATATCGTCTCTAGGTTACGTATGTAACCATGGTTCCCCGAGGGAACGAGATACGCTGCGTCGAGTTGCTTTGGGAACGCCCTTGCATGAGCGCGTTCTGAAGCACGTGTCAAATCCGTCCAATGGAGAAGCGAGACGTCACGAGCAGGGTGACGTAAACACCAGAAAGCATAAAAGTGCGTCCAGCCGGGCGCAAACCAGCTTCGATGAAGTAGTGCCTGCAGGGATGCAGGGAGTATGGCAAAGAGACGCAGCGTCTCGTTCCATCGGGGAACCATGGTTACATACGTAACCTAGAGACATTCCCCTTCAAGAACTCGAGCTGCGTCGAGTCTCTTTGGGAACGAGAATACCCACTGCTCCATACTACCAAGTCCCTGCCTGTGTGTGTATCCTATGAGCACATCACGAAGAGAGAACTTGGGAACCTGGGGTAGAAGCCAGGTCTAGGTTGTAAAAGTGGACAAAAGTGTGCGGAGAGACCCAGCCCGCCGCAGCACAAATATCCTGCAAGGCCACACCCAAGCTGAAAGCCTTGGAGGCCGCCATACTCCTGGTCGAGTACGCTCTGACCCCCATAGGTGACGGGAGGCCAGAGGACTCATAGGCTAGTGAGATGGCCTCGACCACCAACCTACTCATAGTCTGCTTGGTCGCCGGAAATCCCTTTTTTGGCGGACCAAAACAAACAAAAGGCTGATCTGCCTTATGCCACGGGGCAGCTCTGTGCGCGTAAGCGTCCAGTGCTCGAACTGGACAGAGCAGATTAAGCCTTTCTTGGCCTACTTCCTGGTACGGAGGAGGACAGAATGCCTGAAGTACTATGGGCCCTGGTGAAGAAGTGGGCACCTTAGGGACATACCTGGCCCTCGGGTAAAGGAATGCCCTAACCATGCCTGGAGCAAATTCCAGGCACGAAAAAGAAAGTGCCTGAAGATCCCCGATCCTTTTTAGTGAGCAAAAATAGCGAGGAGAAAGATGGTCTTGAGCCTGAGCAACTTGACCGAAACTTCTTCTATGGGTTCAAAGGGGGCATTGCATAAGCCCTCCAGAACCACAGCCAGGTCCCATGAGGGCACATTGGTGCGCTGTACCAGGGTGCCACGGAGGAAACGAGTGGCAAGTGGGTGTCTTCCCAATGATTGACCACCCAGAAGGGCGTGGTAAGCAGCTAAGGCCGCCACGTATACCTTCAGAGTGGAGGGAGATAACCCTGTGGAGAATCGCTCCTTCAGAAACTCCAGAACTGTACCAATTGGGCAGTTGACTGGGTCCTGCAGTCGCAGTCCGCACCATGAAGTGAAAAGTTTCCACTTCAAGGCATACTGTTTCCTAGTGGCGGGAGCTCTGGACTGGAGTATAGTCTCAACAACCTCAGTTGAGAGACCAGATGCTAGGAGCCGGGCGGGGGTGAAGAATGGTGCCCCGCGCCTGAGAGAGGAGGTCCCTCCTGATCGGAATCTCCAGCGGGGAGCC